GTATCAAGAAAAGACAGGGGCTTGGATATGCTGACTCGAAGCATCACTGTCTGTTCATTGGGATGTGGAATGTTCCCTCACTGGTGTGGAAGAAACCTGAATTAGTGCAGATGTAGCTGGGGTGGGTATCTGCTTTGGGAAGCTCAGAGTAGCATCCCTTTTTTTGGTTCTGCGGGCATCATCAGAGTGAGACTGTTAGCATGTACTGGTGTGGTTTGCAGTCAAGTGGGAAACCGCTGGTATAAGCACCTCCAAGTCACCTATGGTTATTACCAAACGAGTTAGTTGAGGTGAATGGGTCTACTCCGGGATGTCTCAGAAACCACTGAAAACATTATATATCTCATCTGGCCTGCTCTCCCATCTGGGAACTTCATGAGTAACTGGAGAGTATTAGTTGGGAAAATCTCTGGAATAACCTGCTGCCATATTATTATTTTTTACATATAGCATTTAACTATATATTTTTTTAAATTTTTAGATCATTTTAAACCATTATTGTCTTTAACTTAAGAGTTTTAGATCTCTAACCCCTGTATTTATTTTACTTCACTTTTTTCTCTTCATTTGTGCTCCTTTCTGTTCTTTTTTTTTTTTTAATTTACTACTCCATTTCAGTTTGTCAGATTAGAGTTTGAGTTTCTGAGATATTCTATTTTAACGGTTATTTATCTTAAATAGGGTGTACTGTTTTGGCTGCTGTAACAGCATGTGGTTAAAAAAAAAAGTTTATCTTCTGTTTATCTCGTACTTTATCTGTTACTAGTTAAGTGCTGCTGAAGAGGCGGAGGGAGCTTCTCTGTATGACTTGGTGGTCACGGTGCCGCACATCCTGGATGCTCGCACGGGTGGTAATCTGGTCGCACACATTAAAGTGGGTGAGACCTACCATCAAAGAAAAGAGGTGCGTTAGTCTTAGATAAGAAATTGCAGTCTGAGATAAACTCACTTTGAAAAGTTACATTTTTAACATTTAAAATGATTTTATTATTTCAGGGAGTCACACACCAGCAGTGGTACCTTTTCAATGACTTCCTCATTGAACCAATTGATAAAGTAAGGATTTTACTGCTTATTTATATTTGCTAATGTAAATGTGTGCAGTCACCTAAAGCTATTTATTATTTTATCTATTGATTTATTGTTTTTGTTTTCAGACTGAGGCTGCACAGTTTGATGTGAGCTGGAAAGTGCCAGCCATCCTGTATTACGCTAAGAGAAACTACCACACCAAATACGACCTCCGCAGTAAGTTTCAGCATAATAAATCTGAAGGTTTTCTTTTTATTGATCTAACTGCTCATGCTCTGCTGTTTGCCTCAGTTAAAAATCCCATAGATGCTAGCGTGCTGCTCACAGAGGCGTCACTGGCTCGGAAGCAGAGGAAGACACATGCCACTTTTATCCCTCTCATGGTCAGTGAGATGCCGCAGGCTGGTGATCTGGTGGGGCTGGACGCTGAGTTTGTAACACTCAATCAGGTAACTCTAACCACAATACCACTGTGTGAATACATTGCCCTGTAAAACACTTGTAACCACATTAATCGGGTT